GGGAGCACACCCATTTGCTAGGTTGTTTTTCTTATAGTCATTAACTGAACTTGTATTAAGTATGTCCCACACCAATAGAAGCTTGCATGTGGGCCAGGCTTTACATGGAATCAATAAGCGTAGGTTGTCACAAAATCATAATAGTAAACTCCACTTCTCTACATTCACTCCAAGGAGGTGTTGTGCTCGGTAAACTCGTGTCCACTAGTCACCTGTATAGCCATTTGATCTCTTTACTCTTAGAACTGCTCATCTCTTACTCTCGTAGAGGTGCTCTAGCCAATAAGTGGCATCCGTTCACAAGAGCTGATCAGGGAGTAAAGCGAATAATGAAACCAATTTCTAGACTTATACCTGATCTGAAAAGAAATTTTTTTAGGGTGACCTTGGATTTGTTTGGGGTACAAATAGACTGTCTAGGAGTGTAAGCTTCATTTGACACTCATAATGTATCAACATTGTATTTGAATTTATTGATTAGGAAACAATTTTCTTTTTTTCAAATAAAATGATAGTGGCAGAACTAGAATTTTTGCCAGAGAGAAAGGATATCGTTGGTTAAATTAAGGGAAAAAGTTATAGTTGTTACCATAACAGCGGATTGGTACAACACCAAATGATTCCCATTGTTGTCATAATAAATGAGATATCGTAAGTTAAATCAAGGGAATAAGAAACTGCTGTTACCATAATAGAGGATAGGTATAACGTCAACTGATTTCCACCTTCTCACTTGAATCAATGGACAAGGCATCCTTGATGGATCGCCTGAACCAAGCCTCCGATCTTGTTGATACCATCAGGGTTGGCCCCAACCGCCTTGCTAGGGCCCTCTCCTTTGCTTCACAGACTCACCAGTCCAATGAATCCGTGCGTTTGATTACCAACGAAGCAGCATCCATGCAACATTACCTCCAAAACTCCGAACTATTGGTGGGTATTACTTTTCCTTCTTGTTAGTTTTCAAATTTAACCTTGTGTTTCAAAATGTACAGGTTATTTAGCAAAGCTTGTTATTTTTTGAAAGAGAAAGAATAAAAGTAGATTCAACCGTTGCGAGACTTAATTTTCAAGTTTGAATGTGTGAAGCTAATTTATGATCATCTGATGTGTTATTCGTGTGTGTTTTTGGTTCAGGAACACTTGGGGTTCATAAAATTATTTAGCTTTGGTTCCTAGAAAAGAGGGATGCTTTCTGGTGGTTCTGTGCAATGTATGAGAGTTGATGTGTATTATTCCACTTTTCGATTGGTGATAACATGCAATTAGAATATATATTTCTTTCAAAGGAAACCTATATTGGAGAGAGGACTAAATTTTGGTGTCACATTGGTAAGAGTATGATAGTTTTGAATTAGGAAAAGCAGTTACAGCTGTAACAATTATGGATGTTTAGAGGAATATGTAATTCTTCAATCATTGTTTTGTGGAAGTAGGAATATGTGAACATATTGAGTAATATTTTCAGAAGATTTGGCTGAGATGATTTCAATGGGTTATAGAGGGATAACAATTATTTAGTTGGAAAGATAGTAATTGTTAGATATGGTCCATGTCTATGTTCTTGAGAAAGGAATAACTTTGAGAGGTGCTTCTGAAATTCCAATGGGCTATGATTTACTGTGGCAGACATGTGCATTACAAGGCGATTAAATTTTAAATGATCTTAGGAGTCTAGCAAATTGGATCAAGGTAGGTGATGGAGATTAGAAAGATGTTGGATGAAGCTTGGCATTGAGAATTAGGATTTACTGAAATTAATTTCATAGTTGTGTCATTTGGGATAATTTATTTTTGTACGAAAAATTGAGTACATATATTGTGCTGGGCTTTGAAAAGAAAACAAGTATGATTGAGTTTGATTACTTTTGAAACAAATTGCCAGGGACAATGGCAGTGGATGGATATAAATAGTGGACATTGAGCGCCTCCCTTTTTACACTCATTATGGATAAATTTATCTGGCATATGGTGTATGCTAAAATTTTCAAAATGCTAGTGACTAACAAAACAATGAAAAGGTAAATACTGTAATAGAATTACAGGAAGGATGCTTTGGAACCAAAAATGATTAGAATAAGCATGACTAATAGTGAATTTGTGGTAAACAGCTCAGAGAGAATTTAATGGTGCAGATCAGGTGAAGAAAGGGCATTAGATAGTAAATAATTAAACATAATATTTGATGATGGAATAAAAAGCTAAATGAGTTCAGGAGTTCAATAGACTTAAGGGTGTGTCTCTTAGTTACAATTAGGAGGTCATAAGTCTTGGAAATTAGTCTAACATACAACTTGTCAAACTGACATGTATGTTTTCATTTCCACTATAACCTTGTATTGTCTTAACGACGGAGGACATGCTACGCCAGGCTTAAATTCTCACATGGCTATCATATAATTGCTTAACTTTGATGGTCCCATGATTACCAGAATACCAGGTGATGTGAAATGATTGAATGTCCTAATGACAATATATACTTGTGGCCTACAAAAGAAGAATCCAGAAGAACAAGAAGAGGATTGATTTGGCTGGCATTGAATTCTATGGATAGGCTTTGTTGCCTTGAGGTTATAGGTTAAGATGTGCAGGAAATGCTGTGGTTTAATGCTGGTATAAGTCTAGGAATTCTCTCCTATTCCAATCCCATTTCTTTGACCATGTTCACCTCATTCATCAGCTTTCCTGCTGTTCCAGATGCTGTTGCTCTTGCTTGAGCCGGGAAGTAGAGAAGGCACGTAGTGAGAAGATTTTAGATTAGAGATATGACAGAACAAAGTGGATTTATCATGGGCCTTGGAATATATTATTTGTATGATATACATTTCTTCATAAGAAGTAATAACCACTTAGAATACCTGCAGGTCGAGGGAGAATTGATTTGATTTGTTTTCCAGTTAGGAAGCATAAAAGGAAAGCATTGCCTTTCTTTGTGATCCTTACCTCCTTGCCATAATCCGATCTTCCCCTAAAAGCAGTTCGCACTGGGTAATAGGACTTTAAGAAGGATTCTTTGCCATCAACTGGACTTTTCACAGGGACCAGAGACACGGGCAGGACCCATAGGGAACAGAACTACTCTTTTGGTGTATGATTTGAGTAGGTAAGCGCAGTGGAACCAGCAGCATGAACAATGGACAAAGCAAGCTATTGCGTCAATTAGAAAAGCTGCAAGCTACGGGCAGGATTTTTTTGTTGGCTCAAGGGTTAGGGAGTACGTCACCTTCCCCTCTCTCTAGGGGCTTTGTCGTATCTTTCCTTTCCTTTTACTGTAGCTATTGGCATAGGCACAATAGAAGCAAAGAGGGAGAGAAGCAACCTACACCATCTAGGATAGAATTGCTTGCCTCTAAATAGCAATGAATGAAAACTTTCTTTGCCTCTGGTTAAACTGCTTATACGTAAGGCATCACAAGCTCCTTGCTTTCCTCCTGACATCAAAAGCAGCGAGGCCATGAAATAGGTATTTAATAGGAATTTTCAGAGACTTAGGCGTAGGACTCTTCACAGAGACCAAGTCCAGAACCTCCAACAGCTGACAACTCGAAAGACTCATTGGTTCCTTTTTTTTTTTTCTGTTGTCTTCAAGTTCTAGGCCTGTTTTTCTGCTGTGCTCCTATCTCTTCTTTTTCATTCTCAAGGATACGCGGTTGACCAACCGAAAGCTACTAGGCTAAGAGATGAGAGAAGGGTGTGGAAAGGAATGATAGGGAGAGAAAGACGACTATCTAAACTGGTAGATCCTTGTACTGTGAGTGGTAGTGACTTGACCAATTGCTAAGGGAGTTGGGCAGGTCTGGAGGTATTACCTCCTAATGAATACGATAATAAGACTGCAAATAGTGATATTACAATTTCAACATACTAATGGTTAATATGCCTATGGTATCTCAATTCAAGCGGAGAATCTGTAAGTAAATCAAAAGATGGGCTGTAGCTATAGATATATATTTTGCATGACTAATTCTTGAATCCTGTTGGTTTTTGCCCTTTATGGTTTAGTACTGGTGGTTTTGCAGATGCTATTAACTGAAAGTAACTGAAATGCTTTATTTCAGAATCTCATAACCCAAAAGATTGATCTTCCAAGTTTTATTTGTTAAGGTGCATAATTCTAAATCTATTTACTATTGTTAGGAAAGGAGTTGGAAGATTCTGGTGTTCTTAATGAGTCTCTTCGGTCAAGAAGTAATTCTTGGGGCCTCCACATGCCTTTGGTTTGTCCGGATGGTGCTGTTGTTGCATATGCATGGAAACGCCAGCTTGCTGGGCAAGCTGGTGCATCTGCCGTTGACAGGACCAGGTGTGTTCCAAAACTTTAACACAGTGATGTCTTATTAGATTCTGGTCTTTTGTTGCCCCTATATTTGTCCTGCCACCCCTTTTTTTGTGCTTGATTGACTCCGTTTTACTTGAAGCTTTTGAGAGAATTTAGTCATGGATTAGGTTCAATTTGAATTGATTATGTTTTACATGTCAAAATATGGTCAGCAGATTCATTTTTCTCAGAGGGGTTGTTTCCGAAACCATGGAAGTTCATTTCTGAGCGATGATTACCTTACTTTTCTTACAGAGTTAAATTCGTTCTGGGTAATGGGAGAGTGTGCATTTTTGGGAGAACTTTTGGATTGTGGAGTCATCCTTTGCATGCTTATATCCTCGGCTTTATAGCCTTTCTTGTTATTATCATGTTCATATTGATTCAATGATTATGTCTTATTCTCACTCGGTGTGATGGGTTTTTGGGTTTTATGGGAGAGTTCATAATCATACTATGGAGACTTTGGAGTTGGTCTCACTTCTCTCTTTGCTTTGTAACGCAACTTTACATCATGGACAAAGAAGACTCATCACACTTGTTCTCTTGCAAATCCTATAATGATTCCTTGATTGATGATACTTCTTGCCCATTTTTTTTATCCATCTTTGAATATCTATAAGGCTAAAGTGCTGCTCATGGAAAGATCAATACTAATAATTTGCTTTAAAAACAAAAGCCCTCACACAGGCGTATACCCACACTTGTGTGTAATGTGCAAGAATGATTGCGACAATTCGAACCATTTATTTTTGAATTTCCTGATTGCGTTTTCTTTATGAAAAAAATTGTTCGAGATGACAAGGCATTCGAACCATTTGCTCGTTTTTTTTGCAGGTGTTATTATTCTTATTGGGCTCGTTTGGTTATCGTATTAAAAATAGATGAATTGGATAAAATAATACAGTCTAATACAATACAGATGGATAAAAGACAAGATTAAATATGACATTAATACGTAATTTTATCTAAGTATTTGACAATATACAATATAAGCATCGGATAGTAGTTATTTAATCCAATCGATTGTTTGGTTAGAGAATTATTTCATTGTATTAATGTTGAATTTACAAAAATACCTTCGACCAGTATTTGTTACATTGATTATAACTTGATTTTATTATTTGGGGGGTTATAATAGTAAATGTGTAGAATAATACGTTTGATTATAATACCACATCTATTAGTAGTATTAAAAGACCTCCATAATACAGGTCTATCGTATAAAAAATATATGATTAGTATACAATTAATATACGTTTTTAAAATTAATACGGTATTAAATTTGCTTACCAAACAAAGTATTAGACCTGATTAAATAAAGAATAGTACAATCCAATATTTAATTCCCTCATAATATATCTACCAAACGAGCCCATTGTTTATGTCGATGACATTATCATTACTGGTGATGACTCAAATGGTATTGCCCACTTTAAGATTCATTTAGGGAAGCAGTTCCATATCAAATACTTAGGTCTCCTTTGATATTTTCTTGGGATTGAAGTTGTTCGGTCAAAGGAATGTATGAGTTTGTGCCAACGAAAGTATGTAGTGGATTTATTGTCTGAAACTCTCGTAGACTCTACGGTTTAGTCGAATGCTGATAGTGGTCAAGTGTTTGATGATGTAGGGTGTTATTAAAGTTGGTTGGTAAGCTAATTTACCTCATAGTTTTACGTTTTGATATTACCTATGTTGTTAGTATGGTTGGTTAGTTCATACATGATTCTCGTAAACTTCATTGAGAGACTATTTGTTGTATTCTTCGGTATCTGAAAGGAGCATCAGCTAAAGGATTATTATATCGGCCTTCACTGACTGGGCAGGTAGTTGTACTGATGGATGATTTATTTCAGGTTGTTGTACATTTATTGGTAGTAATCTTGTTACTTGGTGCAACAAGAAATACAATGTGGTTGCTCATTCGAGTGTAGACGCTGAATATCGGGTCATGACTAATACTGCTTATGAAATTTTGTGGGTTTGTTCACTACTTCGTGATATAGGTATCAATGTGCCCTCTTTTATGGATATGCATTGTGACAATCAATCAACTATTTTCATTGCTAGTAATCCGGTATTCCATGAGAAGATTAAACATATTAAAGTGGATTGTCATTTTATTTGAGATCTATTGATGCGTAGGAAGATTATCACACCATACATCAAGTTTAGTGATCAGCTGGGTGACATTCTTACCACACTGTTGTCTCGTTCTCTCTTCAACAATCTTTGTTCCAAGATGGGCATCTTTGATTTGTATGCTCCAGCTTGACGGGGGAGTGTTATAGTTCTTATTTAGATTATTAGTAGTGTAGGGTAATAATGTAATTGTTCATAATGTTAGTTTATAAATAAGTGAGTGTAAGACAACATGAGCCATGCAACAGATTATTCTCTTTCTTTCTTCTTGCCTCTTCTCTTTTATCTCCTCTCTCAAGCCCTAATACCTTTTTTATAATCTTAACTAATTTAACAATGTTTTAATCTACATCCCTCTGGCATATATATCACAAATCTAGATTGGAAATGTAGTATACTAATTTGGTGGAGTGAGGATACAAACTGAAAAGGATGAAAGAAATACTGTTAATTGTTAATTTAAATGTTGTAGTAGTCCCTAACTATTTTGATGACTCATAATGGATTGCACTAGCTAATGCAGGACTATTTTGTCAAATATGGGTGATGTTTTAAATGTCATGGTAGCTTCACGGTATCATTTCTTGATGGTGGTACCTGAGGTCATTAACTGACAGCTAAAGCCATGGTGTTAACCACTTAAAGATATCACCAAAGTTGTAAAAACGTGTATTGTAGTTCATATCATTTTTTTAAATTAGTGTATCGGACAGTATAGTATATCGTAAGATATACATGTGTTTTTTTTTTGTGTGTGTGTATGTATACATATATAATTCCAAAACAATATGGATATTTCAACCTAAAGTTCCATACAAGATTGAAAAGGACTCTTAAGTTTTAAATCAAAATTTAGCAATTCAAAATTTTAACATAATTCATTAATGTCAAAATATTAAGATTAGCAAAGTCCACAATTATCCATTCTTATAGTCCAAGGAACATAGTTGTCAAATCGTATATCGAAAGGCGTCTTATTTTTAGAAAATAGTATATCGTATAGTGCCGTGTATCGTAAGATACATGCAATTTTAATTTTTAAATAATTACATATATATATATATATATATATATATATATATATAATTATAACAATAGACTATTAATATTCCACCATAATCCACAATAATCCATTCTTATAGTCCGGGAAATATAGTTGTCAAATCGTGTATCGGAAGACGTATTATTTTTAAAAAATATTGTATCGTATTGTGTCGTGTCGTATATCGTAAGATACGCATAATTTTAATATTTAAATAATTATATATATATATATATTATATATATATATATATATATATATATAATTATAGCATTTTATTAATATTCTACAAACTATTTAAGTTCCCAACATAGTTTAGTAATATCAAAATGACATCTAATTCAAACTTTTAACATCAACTGTTTGAATAACCTTAATATTAATCAGAAATTTTAAATTCAATTGAATAACTTTAACAATAGACTTTATTTATTTTTTTTAAACCATGACCATTGAAACGAGTTGATTCACTGAAACGAGTTGATTCACTGGCTAGTGATTTAAAAATAAGTTTTAGGGTAAAACAATGTCATTTCAGTCCCGAATAACAAAAAAAAAAAAAAAAAACGGAATCGTCATGGACGTATCGTATCGTACAATATGGTGCAAAAAACGATACAGAGACATGATACGTATCATTTTTTAGGTGTATTGTGATACGATACTAATAACTATGCCAAGGAATCACATTTGCCTCTTATCTTTTGGTCCAACTTCCAACAATATTAATATCTTAATGACTAGATGCCAACAAGTATTAACCTTTTATCTTTTTCAACCGTTTGTATATGTTCATCCTCTTAATTATTTATTGAACTACTTGCTTTCCTTTATTTTTCTTATTTGACAAGATATTTCTAGGCCGCACTGAGTCAACAAATTAAAAAATATATAAAATTATATAAGGCATTTATCTTTCTTTTTCTTTTTTGTTCCTTTCTTCTTTTTTAATCTAGACAAGGCATATGGTAATGAATCGTGTATCGAACAATATCATACTATATGTGTTGTGTATCGTAAGATGTAAAATAATATGCTTGTACAAAATGTATGTGACGCCCCTAAAACTAAGGGTCCCGTTGATAACCCGTCAATCTGCGGAAATGCCCGTGAATGCTGTTTGATCCGACATCACGCTAATATTATTCCATTACCTGGAATTTTAACTCACACGTATTATCCGTGTTTCTTTAATCATTTAATTTTAACCATAGCTTAAAATACCACAATTCATGCCTCTTTATTGTCCAATTACATCTTTGGAACCAAAGAAATCAAAGACCGAGAGCACAACACTTTAGTTTTAAAATTTCAAATTTTTGGAGAAAGTACCGGTATTGTGTGTTCACTGGTCCTGAAAGTACCGGTACCGTCTGCCTTCCAAATTTTTTTCAAAGTTTTGAAAAAGAGTACAAGTACAGTGTACAGGTACTGTCTGCTTGCTGGACCAGACTATACTGGTACACTCTGCCCAGTTTAGCCTATTTTCACTGTTTTTCCATTTCAAAATCATTTCAAATAATCCCAACACCATCCAAAACATGTCTAATGATGTTTATCACATAAAACTAGATATCTACAAGTTCTATTACAATCCATTCACACGATTTCATACTCAACACCGTAATTTTGTAAGGTTTATACAAAATGTATTACAAAAGCCACAAGTCGGCTTTTCTTCATCTTTGAGGCCCCGAATGAGAGTCCTTCGTCGGTATAAACCCCGTACCTGAAATATGTTCCCGTATAGGGTGAGCCAACGCCCAGTAGAATATTTCTTATAGAGGCTACTCTCTATCTAAATGCATATGCAATGT